GATTGTTATCCCCTTGCTCTTCCCCACCTTTAATGAGCACTTTGTTGCCTCTCACAGCCCTCCATTCTAAGACAATACACCCGCCGATCAACGGCTGGCTACACTACTGTCCCATTCAACTTAAAAGATACTGTATTAATTTAATCTCTATAACTATAACCCAGCAACCTTATCCGCGAACTTTGCTCAGGATATGTTGGAAATAACGTTAACACAACGATGTAGTCATGCTAGTCAGAAATGTTGTTATAGGCCTAAATATATACGTATTCATGGTTCTCCAAAATCTTTTTGAATACCAAACTGTTAGCTGGACACAAGTTCCATGTTCAAAATAGACAATCGTTTAAAAACATAATATAGAGTAGCCTTAGCTTACATATTGTAATAGGATAACATGCCATGTACTTTATTAAACAATATTCAAGCACAATACTTAGTAAAATGTTGTAGAGTTTGTTCATAATGCGTATCACAAAAAGTAGGCCCCTATTAAACATGTCCTCTTTAGCTTGTCCTTACATTTCGGTATAACAGATTAAAACGCGGGTAAATTAATAATTTGAAAAGTGAGTAAACTGTCAATGTCAAATCGACAACACTACACTAATTTGATACTGTATGCATTAACGAGAACAATATCTAAATATTTCTACAAAAAAATAGTATTTTACTATTTTAATTGCATTATGAAAAGTATTATAAAGAAGCTTAACACGTTGGGTATTTTGATAAATAAATAAATAAATAATAATAATAATAATAATAATAATAATAATAATTTATGTTTCTGTGTAAATGTAATGACATAAGCACAGTATATATGATTATTATTATTATTGTTGTTTGTTTTTGTTGTTCAGTAGTATATTCTCTATATCAGTATTTTGCTTTCTAGTATAGTATTGATAATACAGCTAGTGTTACTAATAATAATAGGTATTAGCTTTATTGAATTATAAAATAATACTTAAAGAATGTGGTTTAAACATGGAGGAATTACTAATTACTAATTCCTCAATGGTTTAAATAATGGTATTGATATTTTTGTTTGTGTAACTAATATTAATAATTATTATTTTTATCAAATTAAAATAAGGTTTGAATAAAAATAAATGAATCAAAATGGTATTGATATTATTGTTTGTGTAACTAATATTATTAATTATTATTTTTATCAAATTAAAATAAGGTTTAAATTTTTTTTAATGAATCAAAATACATTCAGAGTAGGATAATTGTAAAGAATTAAATAAAAAATCTACAGACTTTTTACTGCGAAATACCTTTAATAGGAAGGAATTATTTCTAAATCTTTTATTGCTGGAGACGAACATATTCCGTTGTTGCAGTTTTCAATTGAAAAGAAGCCCTACTCGCACAAGGGTGGCACCAGCGTGGGACTGGGGAGGGGGGTATTAATGTTGGTAAATCAAACAGACAATGACATGTGAATTTTGCAAGAGAAATATGTAATCACGACAATATTGTCGGTAAAACTCGTACAATATAATAACACTTGTATTAGTAATTTTAATAATTGTAATGTGTTCTTATATTCTTGCTATATTAATTCCTGTATATTTGTATATTTGATGTTTTTACTAGTTGGCTTTTAATTGTAGGCCCTACAATTTTACAATTTATTTATTTTTTTTTTACTGCCATTACACTTTTTTTTAATAAAGCTTTTGTTTTAATGAACAAATTCATCGTAGGGCATCACAGATTTTAAGTTACAACAACTGAATTCTCTAGACAGCCAACATTCCATAGGACAGAGGAATGCCCATGCCCTACCCCATCTCCTCTTTATAGGCCTAATAGCAATGAGTTGCTCCAGTTCCAGTGAGTCAATCATAAACTCTAAGTTAGCAGAGGAAGTGACTAAGAACTTTACATGAATTTTCAACAACATCAGAATTAACATTTCTACTTCATTAATATGCCCTTCACAAGGCCTACTTTATTCAATATGTGTGGGATTTTTTTTTTAAACTAATTTTGATATATTTGCCACTTTATACTATCGAATACCGTATCGTCTTAAACAGCATTATAAAAATTTAAGATAATTTATTACTTTTAAACAAAATCAAAATCATTTATTTTTCTTGGTGGCAAAGAAAGTGATGATGACACCACATCCCTGTACAAATCACAACAAAACCACACACTTAACATGTAGGCCTAAAATGACATTCACAAATTAAGTATTTATTTTGCTTTAGATTGTGATTTAAAACATGAGATTAATATAAACTGTACCGGTATTAAAATGTTACTTAAAGATAATATTGGGAACGATGATAGCATACCGATTTTGTTTTCTTTTTTTTTTTTATGGTCTACAACAAGATTCAGAATTTTATGACTCTCAAATAAAACATTAGTACAGTTCTTACAAAAAATACTGGTAGAAAATTCTATAGTTTATCTGTCAGGTTACCTCCTCAGAAATCTATACCGGGCCTAAACATTTTAATTTCCATCCCCACCCCCGACCCAGCGGAGTAGACAGGGGTGTGCTAGATCATTGTTGACTATGGCAAAGCGCAATCGAACATAATATGCCAACTTTCTTAGCCTACTTTCAACTTGTTCGAGATTTAAGGAATTATCTCTACATTTGTATTGTAAATTCCTGTCAAATTTTACTAAATATAGTCATAATGACATCACAACTTCATTTAGACACATCATGACTATGGGCATACAACAGTGTTTGAAAAGAAAATTTGATAGTCTGGACTTCAGGAACAATAGTCATATACCAAAATTATTATCATATCCTATGTACGGTATATATTAATGGAATCAAGAACATGCCTACATCGTTAACAGACCTCTTAGATATGATATTAAATATAACAAGCCACCCCACACCACTCTTCTAAGCTCGCTTAAAAGTGCTTCAAACTTTGTCACATCTTAAGGTAATAACTATATTTTCACATGATAATTGCATTGGTATGAAGAAACACCTCCACTGGTGATTATTAAATATGATAATAGATTATTTATATGATTTTTTTTTATGGTAAAGATGATCAATCGGTTATCCACGTCTCCGGCCATCTATCCGATTAGCTATTTATTTATAGTTTTTACACTTCTTATTGCGTATGACAGCCAGCACTAAACTTCTGGGGGTGTATTTTTTTATATACTTTATTTATTTATTTATTTATTTATTTAAATGGGCTGGGAATTTTTATTTATTTACTTATTTTGCTTTAATGGTGTGGGAAATGAGAACCGTTACCCGGTCCACCCTGTTTCTACCAATGTCATCGAATCGATGCAGACAGCAATTAATACATACGATATACTATATTAAGACGTCTGTAAATGAATTTATCAATCAATAATAAAACATAATAGGTTACTGTAAGCACTACCGTATTCGCTTCCTGAATACAAGAGGGAGATTTCTCAAACTCACGAAAACGATAGCGAATACGAATACGTCATTATCATTATCGTCATTCGTGCCTGAAACATTATGGACAGTGCTATACGAGCTGAATATGGTGCTTGATTTGTGCAAAAGGCATAAATCGCTTACGTTGTGGCAGATATGCTACTGTATGGAAAGGGTTGTCTAAAAATTTGATGACGTAACCGTATTCGTTACCGTTTTCCCAAGTTTGCGAAAACTGCCTATCGATGTCTTCAAGACAAACGGTGAAATTATGATACAAGCAACATTTTATAAAATATGAAATGAAAAAAAAAGATTAACAAACAAATATAAGCCAGTGGATAATGCAAAGTATATTAATTATACTTACAATATTTTATAACTGTACGGTTATTTTTATTTACATTCCAATCACAAGGTCAATGGGTTAAAGTATTTATTTAAATATAAAAAAAATAATAGGAATGTATCTACATTTTACTATACAGATTCATGTTAAATCGAGGGTATATTAGTATTTATATGTATATATATATATATGATAGGCTCATGACAGATTCATGTTAAGTGTCTTGTACATGATATATATAGGCCTATATGTATGTATATTATTGTGTATATTGCTGTTTTAAGTATGTTTTATATATACTGTATATATATTGTCTCTTATACACATCT